TCATAATGATTGGGAAATTACACAAATTGAATTGGATAAATCAAAGAAGGTTTAAAATGAATGAAATACCTAGAGGTGGTCAATTTATAGGTGGTCCAGCAAAGAGAGATTAAATAATGACAACGAGTAGTAGTAAAAGAAAAAACAATTTGATTTTAGTTGCAGATATTATGCAAAAAGTTGCTGAATTAGCAAAAAAACATGAAGCATGTGATGTAAGAATTAATAGTTCAGATAAGTTGACTATTTTTGCTAGAGAAATGGATTATGATAAGGAAGAAATTGCTTATATAAATCTTAGTTTAGAAAGTCCTGAATGTTTTTATAAGCTTCCGTTGATAGAAGATAAATGGACAAATACTACTTCAGTAGATTTTAAAAACTTATTTAGTATAAATTCTAAATTTAAACCTTATGATATATCATCAGATGTATTTAAACAAATTAAATATGTAGATACATTTATTCATGATTTGGATGTATATTTTACGAAGGCTGAAGATTTTATAGCAGTTGTAAAAAATTACAGAAAACAATGTGAAACAGAATTAAAGATTAAATTTATGGGAGAAGAATAATGAAGGTAACAGATAAGCATATTTTGTTTTGGAGTGATTGGCCAAGTAATTTTGCATGGGCTCCAATTAAGGTAGTATGTATGGATGGTCAGATCCATAAGTTTTTCAGTAGTGAACAGTGTTTTATGTGGCATAAAGCATGGTATTTTAAAGATTTGAAATAGTTAATAAGATTGAAGAGTTGCCATTTGATGATGACTATAGTTATGATGCAAAGTGTCTTGGTAAGAAGGTAAAGGGATTTGATAGTGAAAAGTGGCGAGAAGTATGTTATGATGTAATGAAGCTTGCATGTTTGGCTAAGTTTAGCCAGAATAAGGTTTTATTTGATAAGATTACTTCTCCAGAATATGAAGGAAAGCATTTTGTAGAGGCAAGTCCATATGATGGAGTATGGGGAATTAAGTTGGGCGAAGGTGATCCTCGTGCAGATGATGAAACACAATGGAATGGTGAAAATCTATTGGGTAAAGTATTGGATGAAGTAAGAACAGAATTGTTGAATGGATATAAGGCAGAAATCAAGTATTAGTATGAAAAAAGTAATTATATTATTAGTATGTTGTTTTCTATTTGGATGTAAAGAATATGCTGGTATTAGAATTTGTAAAAAGAACACTAATGATTGTGTAGTATATCCAAATAGTCGATATATTACTAATATATGTTGGAATCATGTTAATGGTTATTGTGAACGTCATCCTGATGGAAAAGCAACTATTGAAGATGTAAAGAATCAAAAAGCTTTTGAAGTTTTTACTTGTAATGAATATGATTTTTATCCTGTTTGGAAAAGATAAAATGACAAATCTTACTATTGCACAACAATCTTTTATTGTTACAATTATTAATGATTTATTATCACAAGGTAATACTAAGGAATCTACCTTACAAAAAGTAATTGAATTAAATTCAATATTATATCATTGGGATTCGGATGCAAATATTGAACAGTTTGTGCGTGGTATTCTTGGTCTTTAAAAATTTAAATAATGGAGTAGATAAAATGGGTTGGTTTAAGAAAAGAAAATTAATTAAACAGTTTATTGAAATTGTAGAAAATGCAGAACCATTTGAATTTACTAATATGTTAGGTGAAAAGGAAACTATTAAGCTTCAATGTGACCCAACTCTAGGTAATTTTATAATTTATTTAGAATATTCTACTATAGATTGTAATAATAAAGTTAGAATTATTAAAGAGTCAAAACTTGTTCCACATGATAAGTTATGTAATTTCAATGATTACTATGAAACATTAAAGTCTTGGATGGATAATGAAATTAAGACATATTTCTCTTTATATAAAGAAGAAATGGGTTATAAAAATGATTATAAAAGATTAGAGAATCTTAAATTGGAAAATTGTATTCATCATGAAACTAATGGTAAGGATGAATATATTAGATCATATATGATTTCTGATTTTAAGAGAGCAATGTTATATCTTCAAACATTAACTGCAGAAGGTCTTTTCTATTTAGATGAATATAAAAAGTATATCTTTAGAGAATTTAAGGGGGAAAGATCAGAAGCTCAAAAATGTAAAAGTGCTAAAATTTCAATTACTGCAGACGAGCCAACTACACGATATGATCATTATAGTAGATGGTTAATTAGTTATCAGAAAACGTTAGATAATATGGCTCGTGAAAAGGAAATCGAAAGTAAAGTAGAAAACTTAGATAAACTATTGGAAGAAGTTAATTCATTATAAAATTTTATGAAATAGCATCTATTATTAAACAGTATCAGATACATAGAATCGATCAATATTGTGGTTGGTATTATAAAATGCCTGATGGATATGAGTATAATGTTTTAAATTTTTTATGTGATAAAAAGACTAAGAATTTAGAATGTATAACTGTACCATTTGAAATTTTAATTAAAATAGCACCAAGATTATTTGGTGTTGGCGAAACTATACAATTTGAATTAAAAAATGGTTATGTTGATACAATTGATGAATTCAAAAATAAAATGGATAAGTTTTTTAATGAAAGTTTACCACAAGCCGAAAAAACTTATAGAATGATGATGATAAAAAGAAAAATAAAACAAATTGGAGAAGCCGATGAAGATAATTAAACCATGTATTGACGGTAAAATGATTGATATTAATAAATTTCTTGATGATAGTGTTTTGCCTAGTATTTTTTTAGCAGGACCATGTCCAAGAGAAAATTATGATGATGATTGGCGTCTAGAAGCATTTAAGATTTTGGAAGAAATTGGATATACTGGATATGTAATTACGCCGACTAATTCAGATTATAATAAGATGGAAAAAGCAAATGCATTGATGCAACAGACTTTATGGGAATATGATGCTATGCATAAATGTAATGTAATAGTATTTTGGATTCCTAGATCTGAAAAACATCCAGCACGAACTACAAATATAGAATTTGGTGAATTTCATACAAATCATAATGTATTTGTTGGTTGGCCAGATGGAGCAATTCATAATGAGTATCTAGAATGTCGTTTAAGAATAGTAAATAAGTCTAGATATAAAGACTTAAAAGAATTATTAACAATGGCTGTTCGTAAAGCAAATGAATATAAATTATAATGTAAACTTTTAGTTACAAATAAATATATGAAATAGAGCGCTTCTGGAGCGCTCTTTTTATTTTGCTTATAAATTTATCGCTTAAAGGAAGAAATGCCTCAGAACGCATCCTGGACAGCCTATTTTAAGTCTATTATGATACCATAGGGCCAAAAGTAAAATATATGTAACTAAAAATTTACATAAATAAGGGTGTACAATAGTCAAAAAAGTTGCTATATTCTACATGTTGAAATCAAAGAGGTATAAATTATGGCTCTCGAAACTAAGAAAATTGAATACTTGACAGACGAAAATCGTTATGAAGGTATGGCCCTTGTTAAGATTGAAACATGGGAAGAATTTTGTAAGATTGCTAATGATGGTTCTAATACGATTGCCTTGTATCAGGGTACAACTTGGGACGGTGAATTTGTATCTTTTGATTATACAGATGAAAAGAATCCTTCTCAATATGATTTGGAAGAAGCAACCCGTGATTGGTTGAATGACGAATATAATGAAGGTAATGCAGAAGTCAAGGAATGGGCTGAAGAATTTACCGATGAAGATGGAGATATTGATTGGACTGAATTTGCATCTTGCTATGTTGGCGAATATTGGACTCACATGGAAGAAAATGGTGAAAAGCCATTTATGAGTTCTACTGAAGATGGTGGTCCTTTTGGTGGCAAAAACGGTGTATGGGCTAATTCTTGGATTAATGATTTTACTGCATATAAAGTAGTTTATCTGGAAGATTATTTGAATCGTTTTTAATAACGGAGATTATTATGAAGTATATTTTTGGTGCTGCTTTTGATCCTATTACACGTGCACATATTGCAATTATTAAATCTGTTGCAAAGCACATGACTAAAGAAGATGAACTTGTTATTATGGTATCGAATAATGATGAGAAGATTTATCCTACAGCCATTAAGGATCGTTTTGAAGTAGTTAATGCTACACTTGAAAAGAATATTGATTGTGAATATATGTTAATTCAGCAAGATAAGCGTACTTATGCTTTTTTGCAGGAACATTTCTTTAAGCAAGAAAATGATATTACCATTATTGTTGGTGAAGATGAATGGAAAGCCTTGACTGATTATAAATGGCATAATGCAATTGATTTGTTGGCTACATATAAGTTTATTGTAGTTGATCGTGAAAATTCTAATGTAGATACTTTCAACTATAATGCACGAGTTATCAACATTGATATGCCTAATTGTGCTAGCAGCGCTGTAAGAAAGATTTTTGATTTGAATCCAGATACAAAGTATAAGGAAGTTAATACATATATTACTTTGGAGACATTTAAGCAGATTAAGGAAAATGGATTATATCATCAGAATGGCGACCGCTATTATGAAGATGAATGCCCAGAATTGTTGGCAGCATATAAGGTAAAGGCAGAAAAGAATCATTGGGGTAAGGTTAGCGCAACGACAGATACGGTTATTTACAATGGTACGAAGGTGTTGTTGATTAGACGAAAGAATTGGCCTTATAGGAATTTTTGGGCTTTGCCAGGTGGATTTTTTGAAGCTACTGATGCAGATTTGAATTATGGTGCTGCACGAGAAGTTCAGGAAGAAACTGGATTGAATTATGAACCTGAGAATTTTAAGATGATTAAGACTTATGGACATGATTTTGATCCACGTATGAAGATTGTGGATACGGCATTTGCATTACGAGTTCATAAGAAGGATATGAATAAGGCAGTAGGTGCAGATGATGCCGCAGAAGCACGATGGTTTGATTTGACTGAATTGCCTAAGTTGGCATTTCATCATGAGATGATTATTAAGGATTGGATGGCAAATAATGAATAAGGAATGGCTGATTTAGCAAAGATGATAGCAAACATAGATAGATTTGATCAGGATGTTCCAAAGGAACGAAAGGATGAGATTGATGCTATGAATGCTGCAGAAGAAGTAAGTAAAAAGATTATTGAAGAGGATTTGTAATGAAGCCTACAAATACGTATTTACGAAGTCCAAATATGAAGCCTGGTACTGTTACTGGTATTGAATATTTGAATCCTATAAGGAGAACATTGAAGGAACTTAAGATAAAGCGTATAGGTTGTAATTGTTATCCTGATAATACTTTAATGGATTTTTGTATTGAAAAATTAGAATTTTTGATAGAGAATGTAGAATCAGGAATAGATGAATATAATAGTGAAATATAGTGTGAGAATATAAATAATGAAAATATATTTTGTTAGACATGCGCCGACTGCAAGTAATTTGACTGGTATGATGGTGAATGGGTATACTAATTCAGATATACTTAATATAAAGCCAGTAGATTGGGAAGAGCGAGTTGGAATGTATATTCCGATGAATGCTCGGAAGGTTGTATTGTCTAGTCCTGCGAAAAGATGTGTACAGACTGGAGAGTTGTTATTTGGTAAGATGCCAAATAGTGTATGTAGACCGTTGAGTGAATTTGATTGTGCAGCTCTCAAAGATAAGAAATTTTGGGAGATAACAAAAGATGAGTTTGAAACGATGGTTAAGATTACACCGCTTCAGATGGAAGCGAAGGTTAAACAGATTATCAAGTTATGTAGAGATACAAGAGAAGAATACAAATCTGATAATATGGTTTGTATCAGTCATGGTATGGTCATTCGTTATTTGTGGCACTACTTTAACGGACATGCCGATACTAGTGCTTATGATGTTATTAACAGTACTGGTTTCAAATTTTCCAATTTAGATTTACTTATTTTAGATACAAATAAAGGAACTTGTGAAGTTCATAATTATAAGGAACCTATAAATCATGGCAAATAAGTTAATACATAGTCGTCCTCAGCTTTCTGATCGTTTTTTGATTCAGGAAGGTTTATGGGATTTGGATGATTCTTATGATTATGATGATTATAATGATTATTATGAATATGAACATTATGATTTAGATTTTGTTATTTTGCCAAATGAATTGGAACGTTATAAGTTTATGATTCCAGCAACATTATATAATGTTCAAAAGACATTATTGAATGAAGGTTGTCATTTTAGTCCTGTTAGTATAGAATTTGGTTATGAAATACAAGGTAGTGCATCTTGGCGTTTATGGTCTCATCCAGATGACCATGGTGTAATAATGAATATATACTATGATAAAGAAGATGGTGTCTGGCGTATTTTATATGAATTTAACAGAACAATGAAAACAAATTTGTATGTTGGTTTAGATAATCATCGTTTTTATAAGTCTGTATGGAATGATGATAACTTGCATTATGAAGAAATTATTGTTAATGACATGACATCAGAGAAGCTTAATAAATATATTAAGATGTTTTATGATAAGCAGAATCTTCATAAGAAGATGATGCTAAAGAATAAGATTAAAAATATAGGGAGAATAAAATAAATGGAGGGAATGTATGGAAATACTTTTATCCATAATAATAGGATCAGTTTTATTCTTGCTTATAGTGGAATTTTTAATTTCGCAACAAGATAAAATTGATGATGAAATTATATCATCTTTGAAATATGCTATAAAGCATAAGTTGATTTTATCAGAACATGATTTGGTTTATGGTAATAAATCAGATCCTGGCTATGTGGCGTGTAAATTAGAAATGTTTGGATTCTTAACTGATTTTGTATATGCATCAGATAGATCCAAATATGTATATTCAGATTTTGGTGGAAAATATGTTCAACATTATATATATTTGAAATATATGAATTTTTATTCAGTAGCAGTAATTACTATTATGAATGGAAAAACTTATGTATCTATTGAACCATGTGAAAAGAATGCATATAAAGGTCGTTCTAAATTATTTAAATTATAGGTGATTGATGAAAACTATTAGTGAATTGTTGATTGATAAATCTTTTGAACATATTATAACCATTAATCCAAATACATGGGAACATCCAGTAGGAAAGCATTTGTCAGTAAAGATAGTGATGCCTTGTTATTGTCAGGCTCACTGTCCTTTTTGTTTTAACAATTTAACTAAATATACACAAATTCATAATTTTGCAGACTTTTTGTCAAATTTAGATAAATCATTAGATAAATTGTTTTCTATTGTAAATAGACCTATTTCTTTAGATATAACAGGAAATGAACCTACGTATGATATACATTTATTTAAAGATTTTATGAATATATTACGTAAATATAAGTCTAAAGCAGATTCTATTGTATTGACTACAAATGGATATAATTTGGATGAATGTTTAGAATATATGGAAGGAATAGTAGATATAGTAAATATATCGGTGCATCATTATAATTCAAATATAAGAACAAATATCTTTAATACAATTTTGATACCTAGTAATTATGAATTAAAGAATATAATTAGAAAAGGTAAAGAATTGGGTTTATCTTTTACATGTGCATGTGTTTTATATAAGAAATTTGAAGATTTTAAAACATTTTATGATAAGTTTGTAGAATTTGCATATAATACTGGATTTAATGATATAAGGTTTAGATGTAATTATATCAATAATAAGTCAGAATATATTGATGAAATTAAAAATACAGAATTTAAGAATAAAAAGTTGGATGAATTAAGAGCATTGTCTGTAATACAGATAAAAGATGAAAGATATAATGACTATGATGTTAAAATTTTTATGGGAGTAAAAGATTTGACAGAATTGGTATTATGTGCTGAAATTATATTGGATGATAATGGATTGTTATATGTAGATTATAATAAACGTTATCCTGTAAAAGATGAACATATCCAATTTTTTAATAAAATGTATTTTTTAGAATCTTTGTGATTTTTTAGAATCTTTGTAATTATAAATATAATAACCTATTAAAAAATTTATTATATTTATATATATAAATATAATAACCTATTAAAAAATTTATTATATTTATATAAGGAGAACAAAAAATGAACTTAACAGAAGCTAAGAAAATTGTTAAATCACATGGTTATTTAATTAAGGAATCAGCAGAATCTATTCGTGATGCTATTCAGGGTGAATTCCCAGATTTGGATTATGTAGTTGATTCTGAAGGTGAATCTCAGGGTTCAGCAAGATTTGTTGATGGAAATGGCCATTATGTACAGGTAGATTCATTTGGCGATGGTTTTGATGTTATGATTTGGTCTGGCAAGAAGGCACAGGCTGAAGAAGAATGTGGATCCATTGAAGAAGTAATTGAATTTATTGGTGCATGGATTTCTGGCAATTATTAATTTTAAATAGGAGATAATTATTATGGAAAATATTAAGAATCAGTTAGAACAGGCTGGCTATGATTATGCAGTAGCAATTGCAACTCAGGCAGAAATCAAGTCTCAGGCAGCATGTGGTCAGTTGGCTACTATTTTGGAAGTACAGAACGAAGAAAAGTAATATGAGTTCTGAAGCTTAAAAATTATTTAAAAATATAAAAAATAACGGAGTGCATTGATAAAATGCCTCCGTATAACTTTTAACTATAAAGGAATAAAACTATGTTAGTAGAAAAGAAGGCTCGTCATTTTAGTAATGGTTCTGTGTATTGTTTTGCATTGCCTGATGGTAAGTTGATTGAAAGTACAGATACTTTTTTGCCATTTTATACTAAGGATGCAATTGGTCGTAAGCAGAATAAGTTGAATAATTATGAATTGGGTGATAGAACAGAACGCTGGATGATTGGTATTTCATGTATGTCTGGTTGTCCAGTACGTTGTAAGTTCTGTGCTACTGGAAATATGAAGGCATCTTATCGAAATTTGACTGCAGAAGAAATGGTTGAACAGGTTGATTGGATTCGTAATTTACATCCTGAAATTGATACCAATCAGTGTAAGGAATTTAAGGTAAATATGACTCGTATGGGTGAACCTGCATTGAATTGGGAAGAAGTACAGAAGGCAGCAAAGATTCTTCAGGAAAAATATCCAAATGTACATATTTATGTATCTACAATTGGTGTGAAGGGTACAGATTTCTCTTGGATTAAGGGTAATGTAACATTACAGATTAGTTTGCATTCTTTTGATGAAGATCATCGTAATTGGTTGATTCCATATAAGAATAAGATGACTTTGGAAGAATTGGGTCAGATTAGAACGCAGAGTAATTTGAAGACTACAATCAATATGACTCTAGTAAATCCTGATGATTTTAATTTGGAACTTCTAGAAAAGTATTTTGATAAGGAACATTTCTTTGTTAAGTTGAGTCCTATTAACAAGAATGAAGTTTCTGAAAGAAATGAATTGGGTGATGGTGTAATTGAAGGAATTAATTTGGTATAATATATGGCAGTAAAGAAAACTATATTTAGATACCGTGTTATAACAAATTTAAATTGCAACATGAATGAATCTACTGGTCCTCATGGCAATTGTTATTTTTGTTATCAACCAATGAAAGAACCACTTCAATTGGATATGCAGAAAGCGATTTCTACAATGGATAAAGTAGGAATTTTGAAGAGAGCAACAATTATGGGTGGTGAATCTACTATTCGTAAAGATTTGCCTGATATAATTCGTGCAGTTAAAGCACATGTTTCTGAAGATGTATGTTTGGTAACAAATGGTATTCTTTTGGATGAAGAAAGAATTAAGTCTTATGCAGAAGCTGGATTGACTGAAGTTGCTATTTCAGTATCTTCATTAGAACAGTATATTAGACGTAGAGATCAAGCATTACTTTGTAAGAAGTATATTCCAAATACTAGATTGAATATTCCAAAGTGTAAGGAATCTACTGGAGATAAGTTGGTTGAATTGTTGAAAGCATGTTTGACTGATGATTTTTATGTAGTAGTATGTGAAGATTTAATGGGTAGATATTCTGATTTTGATTTCCAAGAAAAGATGGGAACATCTAAGGTCAAGGATGATGGATGTAATTTTTATGATTATATCTGGACAGATCCAGAAGGAAAGAAACATCAGTTTGGTGTATTTGGAAATTATACAGGATATGATGCGACAGATATTATTATAACGCCAGTGGGTAATTTCTGTAAATGGGAACAGTATTGTAAGAAGATTGGTAATTCTGAATTGAATAAGACTTATAGTTCAGCAGATTATGAGGAATTAGATTTAGATGCACTCAAAGACTTCATTGATTCCAAACCTATTCATTGATTTTGGTAGTGGATATAATCCAAAAGAAGGTTATAAAACTTGTGATTTTACAAATATGCCTTTTTTGGATTATGTTGCTATAGATAATAGAATCTATGATGGTATAAAAGAAATAGAAGATAAATCTGTTGATATAATATATTGTAGAAATGTATTACATCATATTAAAGATTTAAATTCATTATTTCAAAATTTTTATCGTTATTTAAAAGATGATGGTAAATTAGAAATTATAGAATGTTCGAAACAAGCATATTATGCTAATTGGTTTTTAGATACTTTATGGTATAGATATGTAATTCCTAGAAAAGAAGTTTGGTTTTCAGACAAATATAGAAATTATGTTGAAATTGCAAAGATGAATAATTTTAAAATTTTAACTAATGATATAGAAAACGAAAAAGAACATTTTATATTTTATAAATAAGATACAAGCAAGAACTTAAACATTATATTTTAACAAAAGACAGGGCCATATAAAATGGCTTCTGTCTTTTTTGTTTTGTAAACATTTTTTTACAAAACAAGGGTTGACAACATTCAAATTTATTTTTAAATTAAGGTACGTAAATGAAAAACAAAGGAAAAAAGAAAATGACAATTAAGGTTAATAAGTCTAAGGAATCTAAGCTCCAGCGCGCAATGCGTATTTTTGAATCCAATAATGGCATGACTATGAAGACACGTCGTGTCGAGTCCAAAAAGAAGTATTCTCGCAAGAATTTTAAGATTGACATGGACTAATGTAAACTTTATTTTACAATAAAACAGGTTGACAAGATTCAAATAAGTTAGTATATTTTACTTGTTAAAATAAAAGAGGTTTAAGAATGAAGATTAACGAAATTTTTGCAACAATTGGTTCTACGTCTGGTAATGTTGAAAAGTCTGCTATCATGGCAAAGAACATGAATGAGACTATCAAGCAGATTTATGCAGATACTTACGACAAGCAGCGTAATTATGGTGTAAAGAAGTTTGTTGTATCTTCTGTAGGTAAGAAGACTCTCGATAAGAATTATGCAGAATTTCATGAAATGTTGGAACAGTTGAACGCACGTGTAGTCACGGGAAATGCGGCAATTGCGATGGTAGAAAATACCATTGGTCAGTATACGGCTGATGACCAAACAATTCTTAAGTCTATTCTTGAACGTAAGTTGACTATTGGCTTGTCTAAGGCATCTTTTGATAAGTTGCTTGGTGATGAAGCTGAAGCAGATTTTGAAGTCACTCTTGCTTATGATATGAATAAGGTAAAGGGTGTAAATGTTTTGGATGGAACATATATGGCATCTCGTAAGTGTGATGGTGCTCGATGTGTTGCTTTTGTTGATGTGAAGAAGGGTTCTGTAAAGATTGATTTTAAGTCTCGTCAGGGAAAGCCGTTTACTACTTTGAACAATGTTAAGCCTGCACTTTCTAAGTTGGCTGGACAGTTGGAAGATGGTAAGTATGTGTTTGACGGTGAATGTTGTATAGTTGATGAAAATGGCGATGAACATTTCGATTGGATTATGAAGGAAATCCGTCGTAAGGATCATACGATTGCAAATCCTTGTTATCAGATTTTTGATTTTGTGACTCTTGATCAGTTCTTGATGAAGGAAGAGTCTGCAGATTTTGTTACTCGTTACAATTTCTTGGTAGATTTGTTTAAGATTAACAAGGATTCTGAAATTAAGTTGCTTGAACAGGAAGTAATTACTTGTCAGGAAGATTTTGATCGTTGGTCTAAGTATGTTGAAGACGGTAATTGGGAAGGTTTTATGCTTCGCCGTAATGTAGCATTTGAACTTGGTCGTACTAAGAATTTGCTTAAGGTGAAGAAGTTTGTTGATGATGAATTTATTGTAAAGGATGTAGAAATTGCAGAAATGACTACTTCTATTCCTGGTAAGGGTAATGTGAAGTTTACTGGTGTTAAGTCTCTTATTGTTGAATTTAAGGGAAATGACGTCAATGTTGGTTCTGGTCTTTCTCGTGAACAGCGAATTGAATGGGAAAAGGATCCTAAGAAGATTATTGGAAAGACTATTTGTGTGAAGTATTTTGAAGTTACTAAGGATTCTAAGACTGGTAAGGAAAGTCTTCGCTTCCCGATTCTCAAGTATGTATATGAAAACGGTAGGGATTGCTAATGATTAAGTATCTTTTATTGCTTATTGCTATTATGTTTATTGGATGCACGGTAGAAGTGACTGATGCATCAGCTTATGATTGTGAAATTAGAACTAAAACTGAGTCTTATTGTACACGTCATGATAGTCATGGTTATTGTATTGAAGAAGAAATTCGTCAAGTAGAATATTGTTATGAATACATTTATTAAGGAGAAATGAAAATGCTTGGTAGATTTACTTTTATGTTTATTGGTTGTGTTGTATTTTCAGCAATTTTAGTTACTATTGAAAAGATTCTTGGTATTGGTTTTAGTATAATACCTTGTTTTGTTTTTGGCCTAATCTGGGGTTTTATTAGTGATGATGTTCTTGAAAAACTTCAGGAAAAAGGTTTTTTTAAGTTTTTAAAGTAGAGGAATAATAAAAATGAATGAAAAGCGTTGTTTGATTTTTAATTCAAAGGGTCAGTTTTGGAATTGGGCAAATAGGCATTTCCAGACAGCACCATTGGATGTTCCTCTGGCGTATGTAGAATTGAACATGGCAAAGAAGGCTGATAAGACTGCCGATTTGGTAGCATTTGAACAAAAGGATTGGGATATTGTTGTAGCAAAGTGTAAAGAAGGAAAACCGTTTTGTATTACGGAGTAATTTATGACGTCATTAACTCATGAACGATATACTGAAATATGTAAAGAATTTGGTTTAACATATCATGAAGGATTTGGCGGTCCATATTGGTGTGATGAATATGATGAAGAAACCGAATGGCATGAAAAGAACGGCTGCTCATGTGCTTATGTATATACTGAATATGACTTTCGAGTCGATGATGGATTAAATTGGTTGGGTAGTTCTAAAGAAGTATGTTATACTGAAGAAGAATTAATTGCTTGTTTAAAAAAATGCGCAAAAGGTTTGCAAGAATTTAAAAAAGAACTAATTAAAAAGAAAATTCAAAAAATTTATAAGGAAGATGAAGATGACTTCTGAAGAATGGGCTAAAGTTCAAGAAGGTTGGTATAGGAAAAATCTAAATAAGCTTTTTACTATGCTTAAATCTAATGGACCAATCACTCTTAATAAAACTGAACAAGAACATTTAAGGAATGCTCTCGTTTGGGCTGCAGAAGCAATCAATGATGCTAGATATGAAGCACATTTCCGTGCTGTACATGATGGTTGGGGTCCAGAACATGCTCTTGCACTCCAAGTGGATTAGAATTAATAAGGAGATTAACTATGTGGCCATTTAATAAAAGAAATTGGATTTTAGTAATTGGTGAATCAGATCCAGAACATCTATTTACTGATATTGAATGTATTTCTACTAAAAGATATGAATGTGAAAATAAGGCTTGTAGAGAAATTTTTGATTGGATTAAACATAAAAAAGAAGTTTTTGGTGGCAAATTGATAAATAGTAATATTGATTTGCCGGCTGATACAGATGATTGGATTAAATTTAGAGAAAAACTATATGAAGTATTAACTCAATGGACCGAAGATTTTCAAGATACGGCTAATTTAGAATTAACTTGGAAAACATCACATTTAGAAATTTATAAAATTTCAGTTAGAATTTTTAGTTCAACATCAGATTTTATTAGGTTAAATTAATTATGAAACAATTTAGAATTGTAAAAGAAACTAGAAAGAAATATGATGTTACCGTTACAAAGTATTTTGTTGAAGAAACCGCAGATATACCATTTATAACATGGTGGCGCCGTTGGACACAAGATAAAGCTTATGGTACAATAGATATAGAATTTACAACTGAAGAAACAGCTATGCAAGCAATACATAATTGGGTAAAACATTTGAGGGAGAAATATGATTACAAGCATTCTTTGAAGAAGGAAGTAATTGCTGTAGTTTCTATTGATAAAAATTTCAATATAAAAGAATAATTATGCAAATTGAATATAAATGTCATTGGCCTGGATGTAATTTCAAAACTATGGAAAGAGCCGAAATTGAATTGCATCATATAGTACCAAGGGAATTAGGGCCAAGATTAAATTGTCATGTGAGGTTATCATATTGTCCAACGCATCATAGAATGATATATCATCCAGAAGCAAAACATGGTCCACATTCAGTAAAAACAAATAGTAAGTTAAAAATTTTACATATATATCCAGTTGCTCCAGAAGGGTATGCTGTTGAATATGAAAATATGCAAGGTTTGACTTGGATGGAGTATTTTTCAGGCACTTACCAATATGATGAGGTAGATGAATAGGCATATCTAGAGGCTTCCTGGAGGCATTTTTATTTAAGGGACGATAAATTATATGGTAAAGCATAAAAAACGTCCTGGAAGCGTTCTGGATGCCATATCAAAGTAAACATTATTTTACAAAAATATAGGTTGACAGGTTTCAAATATGTTGCTATATTTTACTTGTTAAAATGAAAGAGGTTGAATATGTGGATTGCCATCAATGCTTATAATAAAGACGTTCAGAATGAGCTTGAAATGAAACATTTGACTATTGAACGCGATGGTATGAATTACGTATATGTGCGTGATTTTGATGAATTGAAAGAACGTTTAGCTGACGTCGTTGAAGAGCTTGAAAAGAAGTATGGTAAGTTTGAATTTAAAGTCTTTGGAGTGTAACTAAAAATTTACAAAAAACAGGGTTACCAAAGTTAAAAAATATACTTACATTTAACTCGTTAAAATAAAACACTAACAGAAAGGAAATTAAAAATGAAGACACTTATTGTTGTAGATATGCAGAAGGATTTTATTGATGGCGCACTTGCTAATCCTAATGCAGCCGCTATCGTTGATGCCATCGCTGCTAAGGTAGAAGCACATGTTGGTCCGGTGATTTTCACTCGTGACACTCATCTCGATGGTCTTTTTGAAGCATCTTTGGAAGGCAAGTTGCCTAAGCATTGTGTGCGGGGTACCGAAGGTTGGATGATTGATGAAAAGATTGCAGAAGCAGCAAAGGACAAGTTTACTGCCGCTGTTGATAAGGTAACATTTGGTAATGTGAATTGGAATGATACTGAAGATCCGATGTTGCAGCGAGTAATTGCTCAGGCTGATGAGATTGAGCTTGTTGGTACTGTTGCCGAAATTTGTGTAGCAGCAAATGCGATTTTGCTTCGAGCAATGTTCCCTGATAAGAAGATTGTTGTTTATAAGGATATGATTGCAGGTTTGACTGATGAAGGAAAGGCTGCAGCAATTAAGGTTCTTGAAGCACAGATGGTTGAAGTAGTTTAATTTAAAAAAGGAAGAAAGAACATGAAGACTCTTACTAAGAATTGTGTTAATTGGGTTAAGGAATACTTTGCAAATCTTGGCCAGTCTAAGGCAGTTGTGGGTATTTCTGGTGGAAAGGATTCGACTGTGGTAGCTGCGATTTGTGTAGCAGCACTTGGTAAGGAAAATGTGTTTGGTGTGATGATGCCTAATGGAGTCCAGAAGGATATTAGTGATTCGCAGAAAGTTATCGATCATCTTGGAATTAAGGGTTTTACTGTAAATATTGGTAATGCTTTTAATGATTTGTGCAATGAAATTTGTTTGGGTCAGGAATTGACTTATGACACAAAGACAAATCTTCCAGCACGACTTCGTATGAGTACTTTGTATGCAGTAGGTCAGACTCTTGGTGCAATGGTAGCAAATACTTGTAATTTGAGTGAAGATGTTGTTGGCTATGCAACGCTTTATGGTGATAGCGCTGGTAGCTTTGCTCCGCTGAGCCATTTGACTACTGAAGAAGTCATGGAAATTGGTGATGATCTTGGAATGCCTACTGAATTGGTGCACAAGACTCCGATTGATGGTCTGCAGCCGTTGACTGATGAAGATAAGCTTGGATTTACTTATCATGAAGTGAATGAGCTTATTCGTAAGGGTGTTAAGGGACAGAATTATGAAAAGATTATGAAGATGTATCGAGCAAATAAGTTTAAGACTGATATTATTCAGATTCCTTATTTTAATCCTCATCTTCCTAATGTATTGGAGACTATTTAATGAAGAAACTTGGAATTTTGCTTGGTGTGGGTCTTTTGTTTACAATGATGATTGGATATTTGAAGGCTCATGCTGATTATGAAAGAGCGCAGGAGTCAATTGTGACTCATGATGGAAATATTGAACCGTTGAGGTAATAATATGAAGAAAATGGTGATAACATTATTGGCCGTAGCTACAATGGCGGTAGCACAACCTGTAAAGGTAATAGTGCATAAGGAACGTCCAGTTCATGTAAGTACTCTGCGTTGATACCACTGCTT